CACTTATCCTCCATTTGCCCAGAGATGTTAAGAACTGCTGGAGTCAAACAAGTATGGAGCTGGAGGAACACAGCAGGTAAAACAGCATCAGGGGTAGGAAAGGTCATGTTTTCAGGTCAGGACCCTTCTTCAGAGAGCCCATTTCTGAAGAAGGGTCCTGACTCAACATCAACTTTCCAACTTCCCTGCTGCCTGACCTGCTGTGTTCCTCCAACTCTGCATTGTCTCTATTCTCCATTTGCTAACTTTTTGCCCACTTAACCAAACAATATCCCTTGAAGTGTTTGTAACCATCCTGTAAGTGCCTTGTCACCTGCAAATTTGGATACAGTACAGTAGCTGGTTTTGAGCTTTCTAGAACCACTGCAGTTCTTGGTGTTGGAATACCTGCAGTGCTTTGTCGGTTGGAAGTTCTGACTTTGACCTGATGTCCTTCTGATTAATGGGAGTTTGGAAGGTGCTATCAGGGTATTTGAGTTGGTGCATTTTGCAGATGATGCATGCTGGTGGAAAGAGTAAATGTGGAAGGTGGCACATGGGGTGCAAATCAAGTGGGCTTCTTTTTCCTGGATAATGTCCAGTTTATGCTGTTGGAGCTGCACTCACCCAGCCAAGTAGACCATATTTTAACTGAGTCATGACCCACAGTTTGTAGGTGGACAGTTCCTGGGAGTCAGGAGTGTTCTTTGCCACAAATTGTTTTTGTAACTGCCAAGTTTGTTTGCTGTCTCTTGGATATTCAGATTGCATCCATGATTTACTTTCATCAATGATTATAAGTGCTGAAATTACAACTTCTAACAATTCTTGTTACAAATGTACATATTCAGGTACAGGACTGAACCTAACTGGTCCTTTATTTTTGGCCTTGCTGGTATACTCTAAGCATGTTCCCTTTTCCTGTTACATGAATCATTAGTCAATCACTAACTTACCACCTTACTACTCTTTATTCAGTAAATATCTTGATTTTATCCTGTCTGCCTTATTTGAAGCCCCTCTTAGCCCTAGTTGTACAACTCATCAGAACATGTATTTCCATTTTCCCCAGTACCTTAGATTTGGTGAAGAGCAATGAGACAATTGGTGACAGGGTAAAGGAGCCTCTAGGTGACTGCAATTAAACTTAATAGAATTTTATATTCCTTGAAAGGAAGCTTCAGCCTTTGCTTAAAAGCTAAAAGCAGTCAAAAGGGATGAAAGTAGAGCTAGCAAAGTGAACTGGGGAATGAGGTTAAAAGCTAGATTAGTGTAATGTACTTGGATGTTGGAACCCACTTGATATTGAGCTGTATTTTTGATCTAATTTACAATCTAATGTACCCTGTTCAAATTTGCTTGTCTGAAGTAATCAAGCAATGACCATTGAAGTTCTGCCTTTTAATCTTGCTGCTCATTACCCATTTGTAACTAGTTTCCTAGTCCTGCTTATGATGTACCCATGTTGCCATGACAACTGGACCATCACCTGCCAAGTTTCTCTCCAGCCAAGAGGTGATGGCCTGAACCCTGCCACTAGGCAAATGACAGCCTTCTGAACTTTCACCCAAAACTAGTTGGTGCCATGGTCAGTTAGTCATTGAGGTTGGTTGGCTTGCTGAGCTGGTTTATTCTGCAGACATTTCATTACTGTGCTTGGTAACATCCTTGGTGTAGCCTCTGAAGCATCAGTGTTTTCCCACCTGGTTTTTAAACTCTGGGGTCTGTTGCAATGGATTGTCTCACTTCTGGGTTTCTTCTGTAGTGGAATGTAGATGGGGTCAAGTTCAGTGTTTATTAATAGCGTGCTTTGTGGAGTGCCATGCTTCCAGGAAGTCTCGTGCTTGTCTCTACCTAGCCTGTCCCAGGATCTTGGTATTGTCCCAGCCAACGTCTTGGTTCTCCTTGTCCGTGTGGATTGAGATGAGTATTGGTCATGTCTTTTTGTAGCCAGTTGGTGTTCACGTACTCTTGTTAGTTTCCTTCCTGTTTGTCTGATGTAGTGTTTCTCAGTCTCTGCAGGGGATCTTGTAGATGACATTGGTCCTGTCGATGGCAGGGAGTGGGTCTTTAGTTCGGGTGAGCACTTGTTGTAGGGTTGATGTGGGCTTGTGTGCCACTCTGATGCTCAGCAGTCATAGGAGTCTTACAGTGAGTTCTGACATGTTCCTGATGTAGGGTAAGGTGATGTGTGTCAGGGCGTGTAGAATCTTTCTGATGCTGTTCCTGTAGGCATCTCCTGACCCAGTTCTTTGGATATCTATTATCCTTGAACATTTGGAAGAGTATTCCTCCTCTTGGTGTAGTTCCATGTTGCTGCAGTGTGCTGTTGCCCTTTTTTAAATAGTGTTTGCACGCAGCTTCGTTTGTGTGCTGGGATGGTTACTATTGAAGTTCAATACCTGGTCTGTGTGGCTTTTCAGTGTACTTTCATTTGCAGTTCCCCATGTCTTATGCTCTACCATGACATCCAGGAACAGGAGTTGTTTGTTTGGACAACTGACATGAAACAAGCCATTAACATCAGCTGACAGACCCTGCAAGACAAGCTAAGCACACTTACCCACAAAAACAACAGAACTGACAGGGATAAGGAGCCTCCAACAGGAAACTGACAGACACAAAAAGCCATTCTCACACAGGGACTGAACTACGACAAAACAGAATGGCTAGATACACTGGAAGCCACAAAAGACCAACAATATCAACAAAAACACAAACTATAAGACCAGACAGTAGTCCCAACACTAACTAGAAAGAGGGAACTCAATGCCCTCAACATGAAAGACAAGCCTTGGACAGATTAAAGGACAAGTACATTACTATACTACCTGCAGACAAAGGGCACATGACAGTGATAATGAATAAAAAGGACTACATCTCCAAAGCACAAGCACTGCTTGCTGATGAGAACACATACCAGCCAGTACAAACTGACCCAACACCACAACTAGGCAACAAAATCCTATACACGCTTCGAAGACTTGAACAAACAAGACAGATCAACAAAGCAGACTTAAGAATGAAACCCAAAAGAACCAACACAGATTCTACAGCCTTCCTAAAGTGCACAAGCCAGAAGTCCCCCTCAGACCCAGTCTCCCCACCAGGCACTCCATCGCACAGATTAGCCAGAACTACAAAAGACTCGAGCACCTAGTCAACAAATCACCCCACTCCATCCACTCAGCCCACGAATTCCTCAACTCCACCAAAGATAGAGGACAAAGACCATGATATCGTTTGATGTCACCACCCTAGTCACATCAATAGACGTACCACTAGCAAGGGAAACAATGACAACACTACTTGAACAAGAACACTACCCCAGTGAAACCATCTCCAAGGACAACATGCTTAAACTACTGGACCTATACCTGACCACCCACTTCACCTTCAATGGCCAAACATACAAGCAAATCAACAGGACCCCCATGGGACCACCTATCTCCAGACTCGTAGCAGAAGCAGTGATGCAAAGACTGGAAAGGACTGCCCTTCTGCAAATCCAACCTAAACTATGGATAAGCTATGTAGATGATACCTTTGTCATCATTAAATGGACCAAATTAGAGACAAACTCAAACAACATCCTCACCAGAGAAGAACACAACTCCCATTCCTGGACATGGTAGAGCGTGAGACAAATGGGGGAACTGCAAACGAAAGCACACTGAAAAGCCACACAGACCAGGTATTGAACTGCAATAGTAACCATCCCAGTGCACAAATGAAGCTGTGTGCAAACACCCTTTAAAAGGGCAACAACACTGCAGCAACATGGAACTATGCCAGGAGGAGGAATACCTCCCAAATGTTCAGGGATAATGGATATCCAAAGAACTGGGTCAGGGGATGCCTACAGGAACAGCATCAAAGATTCTACATGCCCCGACACTTGCATTACCCTACATCAGGAACACGTCAACTCACTGTAAGACTCCTATGACTGCTGAGCATCAGTGGCACACACCCACATCAACCTACAACAAGTGCTCACCTGAACTAAAGACCCACTCCCCGCCATGGACAGGACCAATGTCATCTACAAGATCCCCTGCAGAGACTGAGAAACACTACATCGGACAAACAGGAAGGAAACTAACAAGAGTACATGAACAACTGGCTACAAAAAGACACGACCAATACTCACTCATCTCAATCCACACGGACAAGGAGAACCAAGACGTTGGCTGGGACAATACCAAGATCCTGGGACAGGCTAGACAGAGACAAGCACGAGACTTCCTGGAAGCATGGCACTCCACGAAGCACGCTATTAATAAACACATTGAACTCGACCCCATACATTCCACTACGGAGGAAACCAGGAAGTGAGGCCATCCATTGCAACAGACCCGAGTTTTTAAAAACCAGGTGGGAAAACACCATTTCATCAGAGGCTGCACTGAGGATGTTACCAAGCACTAACAAAATGTCTGTGGAACAACAAACCAGCTCAGCAAGCCAACCAATCTCAACACTGACAACCTGAGCTACAGATCTACTCCAAAACCTCAGTTGATCATTCTGACAGCAGAGGCTGTCTGTACAGGTTGCAAGAATTACAAACTTTTTGGACTGTAGCAATGGCTGATGTGCCTCCCTTGCCTAATTTGCTTAGTTTGCAGTCAGTCATGCAGTCTGGAATCACCAGTAGCCTAAACTAGACCTAAAGCTGCAATTCCCTCGCTTAACATTTTAGTGCAGCTTTTTAATTGTTTCACCATCTGCTGTTGTAAACATTGGCATTCATGTGCCTAGAACACTTTGGCCTAGGGTTCTGAATTACTAGACCACTAACACTATACCAGCACATTGATCCTCCTAACAGTGCTGCTAATATCCCTCATTGCAATGAACTTCAATCTTTTGTTAACATTTTGTTTTCCTCAAATGCCATCTTGGAAGTCTAAATGTATTGTAACTAGTTTGTGTCCTGCTTTTTACTTAAAAGCTATAACAAATTTGTTAATCTTCTTGATCTGAAAAGTAATCCAAGTCTTGCTTCTATTGTATAGGAGCCTGGTTAATCATTACCTGGAATACTCTGGTTTTAGTCATCTTACCTTGGGAAATATTGTCATCAAGGGGATGCCACCAAGGTTCACCAGACTTTCACCTAGGATGGTGCTACTGCCCTGTGAAGAGTTTGGGCAGACCAGACCTGTATCCACTAAGTTTAAGAATGAGGTGATGTCATTGAAGCCTACAAAACAGCTAAAAGGATAGATGCAGGTTAGAAACAAGATGTTTCCCTGGTTGGAGAGCTCAGGTTCAGGGAGTACATCAATCTTCAAGTGCTGAAGAATCTACACTATTGATCTATTATGAACAAATGAATAGTTAGTGCTAGGGTCTACTGAACTTTAAAGAAGTCTTGGGTAAAGATCCCTTGAAGGTTGTAATCTTTTACTCCTAGTGAGCATGAATATGCTGGTGGATGAATATGCTGCTTGGTGCAAGAGAAATGGTTTTAATGATCACATTGTTGGGATCCCTTCTAGGGAAATGGGACAACTTGTTCAAGTGCAGACCATCTTAGAATTTGTAAATATGTCCCTGTGGGAGGGTTAATTAATGCTGCAGAAGGTAAAGTAGTCTAGGGCAGGAGACAGTTAATTCATTGGTGACACAGCATAACTTGGGAAAAGGAGCCAAGGCACAGTTCTGCCTTGTCTCGAGAGTAAGGCAAGGATGATGACCTCTAATGGTAGGAATGTTAGAGGGGGAAAACCTGAGTTGGAGATGTGGTTTAAACATTCTCCTGGTGTCTGCTAGTTTCCGTGGATGCTCCAGTTTCCTTCCACAGACCAAAGATGTACAGTTAGGTGGATTGGTTGCTAATTTTTTCATGCTGCCCCGGTGGATTAGTTGTGGAAAATGCAGGACTACAGGGAGTTAAGTTAGGGTGTGGGTGGGATACTCCAAAAGATTGTGGACTTGATGGGTTGAATGGCCTGCTTTCTCACTAGATATTCCCATTCTAATCCCTGAACATCCTGATGGGGGATGGATATGTCCATGGCAGAGGTAGCGGTTGGAGCCTGCAAACAGGAAATCCTTAAACCCCATGTAAACAGGAGAAGACAGAAGGGACTGCTGAAGGGAGGCAGAGAAGAGCTGAGGCAGGAGTGGTCTGACCCGGTTTGAGGGATTGTGCACAGGCAGATCACCAGATGAAATGAGACTAGTCACCATAATGGACACACTGGCCTAATGTTTCATGGTCTGGGAGAAACGGGTATCTGAGAGGTGGCACACAGCCTCTATGATGTAGAGGTCAGTATGATAGACAACAGCACCATGCTTTGTCAACAGGCCTGACTACAAAGTTGGATCTAAGCATGGAGTGCAGCGCATTCTGAAAGGGGCTAGAATAGGTGAGGTGACCACAAGTATGAAAAGGCATGGGCAAGGTGGTTGAAAAGTAGCTGTTCCCTTCAATTGTCAATAACAAGGGGTACCTTTTAGAAGTGAAAGGGGATTTGAGGAAAATGTGTTGCTCCCAGACCATGGTGGGAATATGGAATGCACTGAGTTGAGATGGGTAACAGCAAACATTTTAATTGTTTGGATGAGCACTTTGTTTCCATTCAACGCTATGAGCCTGATGTGGGGCTAGTGTAGGTGCAAGTGAATGTATATAGATTTGATGGGCTGAGCTGTTGCTTGTGCTGTGATTCTGTGGTATGGAACAAAAAGGTAAATTGTGTGAATACAGAATGACTGATCTAACAGTCACCAGGATTGAGAAACTCAATGCCTGCCTTTTGTAAATGTGGTTTACCTCTACCTCTACTCCCTTGATGCACTGTTTCTTCAATGAAGTTGTTTCCCATGCTTTTTGTCACCACTTCTCAGATACCCTCCTTACTGACCTCAATATTTCACCTTCCAGTTTGGATAAACTGGATACCTTTGTCTTGTCCCACTTCCTCATGGCATATTTGCTGCTTGGCTAGGTGTTCTCAGTATTTATTCTTTGCAGTTTCTTGGTTTCCCTCTTTGATTCATTTCACATTTCAAGGCTTATTGTAACAATGGTACAACTGGAGCAGTATTCAGGGCCACAATCAATGCTCCTGGCTTTTGCATTCAAATGAATTAAGCTTAAATGCTTGACAGGTATTTGGTGAAGAAACAGGTTGTGATGCACTAAAATAAAATGTTTTCATGCTTGGGTTTAATGTGTATATATAAAATGTAGTGTACTGATAACATGAGAATAAAGTATTTGAAAGTGAAGCTGTTTGCCAATTCATTGCCCTTTTTAAGGGGGGGGTGGTGTGGTGATATATGCCTTAAGGATGTTTGTCATGGTCCACCTGAAGGGGGCTGTTGTAAACCTGGTGCCAAAGCATCTGCTCTATGGAAAGCAGTGAACAGCTTTCCATTCTAACTTAGACACTGAGTAGGTGAAGTCAGGCTCACAGACCTAGGATTTTAGTTTTGATTACAGCTTAAATTGGGGGTTTTTGGAGTTGAAGCTGCTAGATATAATTTGCTCTAGCAAAAGTTTGAATTATCTACTTTCAATCCAGGTGTTCATTCTCCTGGACTAGAGATGGCAAGTGAGGGGAATCTTTTGATGAATTTGCCTTTGCCCAGAGTGTGGTTATAAGATGCTGCTAGACTGATGTAGTTGATTAAATTGTTGAATGTATTTTCACTCTTTGATAAAATGCCAATTGTTTTAAGCAGTGTACAAAGTTTTTGTTCCAAGCCTAATAGTTTGAGTAGTCACCTCGCATGGAACTAGAGGCTTTATGCCAACTTGTCCATACTATCCAAGTTTCTGGAACTAACAGGACCTAGTCCTATTTGGCCCATATCCCTCTCAAATCATCCTTTTAAATCCTTCCTATTTATATACCTATCCAGATGACTTTTTAAGAAGTCATAATTGTACCAACTTCCCCACCATCTCTGGCAGCTCATTCCCTACACACCACCCTCTGAAAAGATTGCCCCTTGGGTTTTTTAAATCCTGGCCTATCCCACTCAATGCAAACCCTGCACTCTTGGTGATTTTTTTTTTTTTTTGCATCCTTCCCATAGCAGGGAGGGTGACCAGAATTCTCTGCAGTACTCAGAATGTGGTCTTGTACCCTCTCTGTGGCTGACATTCAACTGCTAGGAAGGAAAATACCATTTAAACCAGAGACCATCTGCTATTGACTGATACACCAACAGCAATACTAAACCATACCAACCTTGTGAAATATTTCACATTAGTGTTCAGGAGCTAGTGACAAAACTGAGGACTTGGAGACATGCTCATGGGGATCACAACTTGCACATGATGTCCCTAACTCCTGAAGGTGTAGCTCTGAAAGCTTGTTTTCAAATAAACCTGTTGGACTCTAACCTGGTTTCTGACCTTGTCCACCCCAGTCCCAACACTGGCACCTCCACATCATGATCATCATTCTCAGCCAAGACAGTGGTACAGTGCCTAATGTGATGCCCTAGGAATGATCAATATTCCAGATCCCAGGAAGTCTGAAGTCAGGTCAAACATGGAAACCTTCTATTGATATTTATCAAATCCTGCCTTCCTGGGCTGCTGATTCACAGCTTTCTTCAACATAATTTGAAGAATTCAATGAAGATACCATGGAATGTACTCTAGGTGAGCGTGTGGATATCCACTACAAGTAGCTCAGCAGTACTTTACTGACTACTAAACAATGTCATGGCCAAACTAGAGCTGCTACAGCTGGTGATGCAACCAGCAGGAGAAAATGTGCAACCAGCAGGAGAAAAGCTACAGCTGCTGACGCAACCAGCAGGAGAAAATATACTTGACCTCGACCTCATCCTCAATAAAATGCCTGCCACAGCTGTCTGATACTATTGGTAATAGCGACAACTGTGCAGGCTTTTGTGGACATAAGACCTACCTTTCATATTGAGAATGCCCTTGTTGTGGTACTTTGTTTTAAAGGGAATAGTATGAACAGCTTTAGCACCATGAGGCCTTTCACTAGCAGTCAAATTGTACTTGACACTCTTCAGCTTCTTGGCCTGACAGCTCCCTCACTCGACCATTGCCATCAAGATAAAATCAAACCTTGTACAATGAAGTGTGCATGAGGGCATGCAAGGAGTGGCAAGGTCAAATCCTATCTGGAGCACAGTGCCTTGTACTTCACAAAAGATAATTTCGGGTCTAGGCTTCCCCCCTTTTCATACTTTTGAGGGGATTTGGTCTGTCCATAAATGGTGCTTTTGATACGGTCAGAGGTTGTCAGACCGACTTGCTGACTTCCTTGCCTCCAGTACTCCAGTTAGGAGTGTGATGGGGAATTTTGTTTTAATAGGTACATAGCTGGATGGTATCAAGTCAAAACAAACTACCCACTCGATAATAGTCCCCATCAACCATCTTAAACATTCACCATCTCTACCACTGCAGTGTTTGTAGTCTTCAGCCCACAACACATTGCAGTTACCAAGGATTTTGTGGCAGCATATGTGAAAAGTACAGTATATACCATCTAGAAGGGCAGCAGGTGCTTGAGATCACCACCTACAAGTGCTCCTTGGAACTCTAGAACCCTTCCTTCACCATGAAACACTCTACCTAACACTAGTCAGCACATTTGCCACATGGACTGCAGCAGTTCAGGTTTTTTTTCAGTGATAACATTTTGCTTGCCAATGGCACCTACACCCCTTATTAACACTAGAATTCAAGGTAGTCTCCTGTTCACTCAAAAGCATATATGTATAATGTCCCACAGCTCCTTTTTGTCTCTGCACAAGCTGAAGTTTACTAGGAAGGGCTAATGTATAGCTGGTTACCCTGGTCCAAAAACTGGCATTCTGTGCTAGACTATATTGAGATGTAAGTTCCCCATTTACAAAGCTGCAGAGTTAAAAGTAAAGTATTCTTTTTTTTCCCCACCCCCAGCACAGTTGTTAGTATATCATAGATCTGTATCTTCTATTAATTATGGTTTTATCTCTCTTTTCAACCTTCCCTGAAGGTTTTTATTAATAGGAATGCAGAAGTTATACATGACTGATGATTACTTTAGTCTTATTTACCCCCTCTAATTATGTGCTGGGTTACTATTCCTGGGAGGGTATCTCAACCATGTCCAATTCCAACTTTGCCCACCATCCACAAATGCAAAATTTGAAGTGATCAGGCACAAGAATTCTGGCTGATTGTTTTCTTTCACTGGTAATTCTGAATGTCACAGAGCCATGTTAGACTTGGTTTGAAACTATTTTAAAATAGTATTCATATTTAGTGTCAAGAATTCAGGGCCTATTATGCGTGGCATGTCATATTACCACTGTGCTCCACAGCTCTGTAATTCTTTTCATCAAGCAGGGGCCATGCTGTTGGGGTAGTCTGCACCTGAACCATGCTGAGGCCATGTTCTAGCTAAATAGCGGGATGTAGAGGGTTTTAACCTCAGTGATGAAGGCAGTGGATCGAATGTGGTATGTCATAAAGAGTCAAAGTGAGGAAAATAGTAGTATGGGAAAATGAGGGTTAGAGGATAGCAGGAAGGGACCAAGCAAAAATCTTAGGAACATGCTAACTGTCAAGTCTAGATCTCAGAGCCTTGAGCTTTGGTTATTTTTCTATCAGAATAAGATTTGTGAACAAATGAATAACACACATTAAAGTAAGTATAATCTGATAGCTATAGCTGTAGGATGATAAGTACTGGGCCCTGAATATTGACATTCAAGAAATCCAAAGATGTGTAAGTTAGGTGGATTGGCTATGCTAAATTGCCATCGTGTCTAGGGGTGTGCAGGCTAGATGGAGTAGCCATGGGAAAAGAAGAGTTACAGGGATAGGATGGCTCTGGGTGGGATGCTCTTTTTGGTGGGCAAGGGTGGTCAGTGCGGCTTCCGTGGGCTGATTGGCATGCTTCCACACTGTAGGGATTCTGAGATTAGGAAGCTTAAGTAAAAGTGGAACAACAGTATTGTCAATCAAGGATGGTATTTGTGTAATAGAGATGACACATGTTCACCTATACATCCCAATCTCTTGAACCAAAGAAATCTGGGGTGGGAAGGTGGGAACTGTCTACAAACTAACAATAACCACAATATGGAACAAATAAGAAGTAGTATTAGGTGTTTGAGCTGAAGGGATAGCAATAATCATGGTGACTTCAAATTGACATTAAAAACTGGTAAAATTGATAGTAGTAGTATAGGTGAGGAGTTTGTAGTTTTGTCTTATTAACCTGAAGCATTAATTCTTGTTTCGTTTAAGCCCTATTGAAGGTCAGTTATGGTCTTGACCAGGAATACACATTGTCTCCAGTCAAATTCAAATACCACAGTGACACAGTGGTACTGTCATTGGAGTAGCAATCCAGCCTCTATATTAAGTAGTCAGAGATAGTAGGAACTGCAGATGCTGGAGAATTTGAGATAACAAGGAGTAGAGCTGGATGAACACAGCAGGCCAAGCAGCATCAGAGGAGCAGG